ATTCTCTAAGATTGACTTAAGGTCAGGTTATCACTAATTAAGGGTTAGATCTGAGGATATCCCAAAAATTACATTTAGAACAAGATATGGCCACTATGAATTCCTTGTGATGCCGTTTGGGTTAACCAATGCTCCAGCTGTCTTTATGGATTATATGAACAGAATCTTCCGACCTTACTTGGATAAATTCGTAGCGGTCTTTATTGATGACATCCTTATTTACTCTAAGGACAAGGAAGAGCATAAACAGCATTTTAGAATTGTGCTGCAAGTGTTAAGCGAACACAAACTCTATGCAGAGTTGTCAAAGTGTGAGTTTTGGCTCAAAGAAGTAAAATTCTTGGGTTATGTTGTATCAGCTGAAGGTGTATCAGTGGACCCTAGTAAGATTGATGCAGTGTTAAAATGGGACAGACCACAAAATGTCATAGAAATTAGAAGCTTTCTTAGACTGGCAGGCTACTATAAGAGATTCATTAAAAGCTTTTCGCAGATAGCTATGCCATTAACCAGACTAACTAAAAAGGACCAACCGTTTGTTTGGACTGAGAAATGTGAAGCAGCCTTTCAGACTTTAAAGAACAAGTTGACCACCGCACCGGTACTTGTGATTCCAAACCCTACACAATCTTTCACTTTGTATACTGATGCTTCTAAGAAGGGTCTTAGGGCTGTATTAATGCAAAATGGTAAGGTAGTTGCTTATGCTTCTCACAATTGAGGTTGCATAAGGAAAACTATCCTACTCACGACTTAGAATTGGCAGCAGTCGTATTTGCATTGAAGATTTAGAGGCACTATCTCTATGGTTTGCAGTTTGAGATTTTTAGCGACCGTAAGAGTTTGAAATACTTGTTTGATCAAAAAGAACTTAACATGAGACAAAAAAGGTGGATGAAGTCTCTTACGGATTATGATTATGAGCTAAAGTATCACCCAGGGAAGGCAAACATTGTAGCAAATGCTTTAAGGAGAAAATCTATCCATGCAGCCCAATTGATGGTCAAGGAGTGGAACCTACTGCAGGATGTGCAAAGTACACCTATTGATATAATGTCTGGGTTAGTTGCTACCATGAAAGCACTAACCATTGAGAGTACAACTTAGAAGGAAATTAAAATTGCCCAGTTGGAAGATGAGTATCTACTAGGGGTTAAGGAAGAAGTTGAATAAGGAAAAGAGTCAAAGTTTAGTATTAATGATGGGATACTAAGATATAAAACGAGAGTGTGTCTCCTAATAATAAAGAGTTAAAGAAATTACTACTTGATGAAGCTCATAGAAGCAAATATACTATCCACCTTGGAGTGACCAAAATGTACCATGATCTAAAACGAAACTGGTGGTGGCCTAGTATGAAGAAAGATGTAACTGAGTTTGTTTCTCGTTGTCTAACTTGCCAAAAGGTCAAGATTGAACACCAGAAGCCCCCAGGACTACTGCAAAATCTAGAGATTCCAGAATGGAAGTGGGATAGTATCTCTATGGATTTTATCATGGGTCTTCCTAGAACTCAATATGGGCATGATGTTATTTGGGTGATTGTTGACAGATTGACTAAATCAGCCCATTTCCTAGTCATCAAAACAAATTACTCTTTGGAAAAGCTAGCACAGATCTATGTGAAGGAGATCGTCCGATTACATGGCACACCAAAGAGCATTATATCAGATCGAGATCCATGATTCACTTTAAGGTTTTAGAGATTGTTACAGGATGCCATAGGGACACGATGAGATTAGCTCTGCCTATCATCCCCAAACTGATGGACAAACAGAGAGAACCATTTAGACCCTTAAGGACATGTTAAGAGCTTGTGCAATTGAATTAAAAGGAAATTGGAATGATCACCTTCCTTTAGCAGAGTTTGCTTACAATAATAGCTTCTACTTAAGTATTCGGATGGCGCCTTATGAGGCATTGTATGGAAGAAAATGTAGATCCCCACTTTGTTGGACAGAATTGAGTGAGAGAAGTTTAATAGGTCCAGAACTGGTGGATTACACAACTCAGAAGATTAAGATGATACAGTAGAAGCTGCTTACTGCCCAAAGCAGACAAAAAAGTTATGCAGATAGGAGAAGACGAACATTGGAATTCATGGTAGGAGACCATGTATTTCTAAGAGTCACACCGATGACGAGCATTGGAAGATCAATCCGAGCGAAGAAACTCACTCCCCGTTTATAGGTCCTTATGAAATTTTGGAGAGAGTAGGACTAGTGGCTTACAGAATTGCCCTACCTCCACAACTGGCCAACATTCATAATGTATTCCATGTGTCACAACTCAAGAAGTACCACCCAGATCCATCTCATGTGATCGAGCCCGAAGAGATCGAGTTACAAGAGAATCTTACTTTCAAGGCCGAACCTGAACGCATTCTGGACGTTAAGGATAAGCAATTTCGAATAAAACTATTGGTTGGTTAAGGTTTTCTGGAAAGGAATGTCTCCTGGAGATGCCACCTGGGAAACTGAACAGCGAATGCGGCGGGATTTTCCTAACTTGTTTGATTAGGAAGAGTTAGATTGTGTAGTTTTGGTAATTGTGCTGTGTTGTACTTATGTTGTGCTATGTTGATGAGTAGTACTAATAATTGTGATTGCACCAGTTGCTTGAAGTAAATTTTCTTTCTTTTCATGTATCGAATTTTGGGACAAAATTCTTTTGTAGGCGGAAGAATTGTAACATACTATTTTTTTTAAAAAATTGTAATTAAAAATATATAATAATATTTTATTATATCTACCCAAAAAAAAAAGAAGAAACAACTTTCCACCTAATTTGGTGGAAGCTGTGGCTTTTGACTTAGGAATAGAATTTAGGGGAGAGGGTAGTAAATGAGGTTGGAGAAAATGGGGTGTAGTACATGAAAGAAGAATGTTGGGGGAGGAGTAGTGAATAGAGTTGAAAAAATTGGAATGTAATAAATGAAAGGAAAATATGGGGGAGGAGTAGTAGTAAATGATAGAAGAAAAAGAAAGGGGGAAGGTACAGATGGAAGTGGAAATTGGGAGGACGACGGTGGAAAATTAAATCTGGGAGTGTTATATATATCCTCATCCCGGTTGTTTCTTGCAAGCTAGAGGAAGAGAGATGGAAGAGGAAGAGAGAGCGAAAGAAGAGAAAAGAGAGTGAGAAGTAGAGAGAAAAGGAGAGAGAGAGCTGAGTTGTAGAGTATCTGACCGTTTTGGGGATTATTTAGGTACACAAAACTACTTCTTTTTATCATATTTTCTTTATGAATATTTTCTATATATTTAGAGCTTTATATTATTAGTTTCATTATCATGTTTAGAGAAAATTTTACCTTTTAGATATGAAGTAAATATAGAGTTTTGATAATGTATGACCGTAGAAATTTAAAGATACATTATTAAGAAATTTTAATCAGTTTATATTTGTTCAATGAGTATTTTGAGAATTTTAAATTGAGATTTTAGTTGAAAAACTTGTCATTTAGACATATAGCATGTTTTTACCAATTAAATTTAAGTTAAATAATTTATTTGAGTTATTTAATATATTATTGAGATTTTAATCGGTTTAAATCTTGAAAAAGTAAATATATATTTTTTTAAAAATAATTTTTGAAGGCTTGAAAAAAATTGTAAATTGAGAATTTTGTGAAATTAAATAAAGTTACAATTTATTTATAACTCAAAGAAGTGTTTGGTTGAAGGAAAAATTTTAAAGGAGACTATAATAAATAATTCAGAATTTTAATATAAAATATTTAGATTTTGGGTAATAAAACATATTTACTTAAGTTGTTAAATTTAAATAGCTTATACGTAAATTATATTTTTCAAAAACAATATTATATCTATTATAAATGCCTAGATTTGGGAGAGTTAGTATATTTATGTAATTTTGGTTTAGAGGGTAGTTTTAAAATTTTAGAGTAGTTTTGAAGTAGTTCTGAGTTTATATTAATAAATATTTATGTGTAATTTTGTATACCTTTAAGAATTTTGGAGTAGTCATGGCAAACAAAAATATAACATAGTATGTGCTTGAGGAGCACAAAAGCCTTCATGGCTCACTCCATTAGTGCCTTATAGTTAAGTATATGATATAATTATGAGAGGTGTTACAAAGTGCAGCTCACTTCTCCTTTCAAATTATCGCGTTTCAGTCTCCTGCCGATCCCAATTTTGTTCTATCCTCACTGTTGCACTTTCATTGAAGAGAAACAAGCTGAAACTCTCTACAAAACTTACTCCTTTATTTCATCTGTCAAAGTCTCTCTTTTTCCAAGAAGAGCAATGCTACTCTCTCTTAGTTATTCTTGTCATGTCTCTTCTAGTTTACAAAGAGGAGGGGCTTACACTTGAAGGAGGAAGATTGAAACACTAGCTTAACGTCTATGTTACCTTGTTTGGTCAAAAGTTTGAGTTAGACAATTATGTTTAATGAATTAAACAACTGGAGCATCTTAGGATTCTTTGGAGTGATAGTAGGTATTTTTGAGCCCTAGGTTTGTGTATGGTGTCTGATACATATTTGACAAAAGTCTATAGGTATTTTTGCACCTTCACTCTTTTTTATCAAACTCTTTAAGCCATGTCAGCATCCGCGTCAGCACTTTCGGTCAAATAAACAGTCAACATTATAATAATTAATGGTTGTGACATTTTTGCAACTTTTTAAAATCATCATATATATTTTTGCACCCAAAGTTTGTTTGTAGTGCTAGACACATATTTGGTATAAATTTATAGATATATTTACACCTTTAGCCTGATTAAAAACACCTCAACTTCAATAAGGATCCATCATTGAAGGGTAATAATCTTTTATTGGAACTTGTTTGACTTCTTGGACTTGGAAAATCTTTTTTTTTTTTAAATTTTGTATATGAGCTGTTAACGATTATCATTGAAAACTATTCATATGATTTATGCCGGGAAAGCTTTTGTCGTTTTAAATTTTTCTTCCCAACCGAAGAAGAGAAAGTAAAGTGGGGATTGGAGGGAGTGATGGTGGGGTAAAGTGACTCACCCTTGTTGCAATAAAATCGGGATTTGGATTGGATTCTTGAATTGGTTTGCTTCTGAAAACGCCCCCACCGTCTTCCTCCTCTGTGCTACGCTCTGTTAGCATTTGATTCGCCATTTTCGCTTTCGAACAAGATTCTCCCTGTAAACAGCATATTCGAGGCCTTCTTCATTTCTGGGTATGGCTTTTTCTTTTCTTTCTTGCTATCCTGTTTGTTCCCATGGGGTTACACCTGCTTTGCTCGAGTAAACTGTGAATGGACGGTGGGGGGTCGTTATCCTTTCAAATGATCTTCGTAGCCTTTTCAGTTTTTTTTTTTTTTCCGTCTTAACTAGAACAAGGGAAAAAATGAATTGTGCTCATGATCTCACTAGATTCAGTTTGAATTTTCTGGATCTTGCGTTCTGTTTTGCTTTTGAGTTATTCTTCTGGGACCGTTTGTCATTCAAAACACTGAATCGAGGACCCTATTATTCATCTGTGAGGCAATTTTTTCACATATAGAAGATTAAGCCACTGCTATGGAAACTCTTTTCAATATTTATAGCCAAGCAAGTAGTCATTCTATGCTCAACTACTTGTTCTTCTTGAGAAAGATTAGATTTTTGATGGGGTTGATATTTCTATTTAAACATTTCATGATATTTTATTCTTGATTATTATGCTTGCTTATGTTTATTTCATTGCTTTCGAAAGTGTGTTACTATGCTGATGCGAAGTGAAATAACCCTATTAACATTGGAGGCATTTTTTTTTTTTTTTTTTTTTCAATTTCATCTTCTTTTTTTTCTTTTTTTTTTAAAAACAGGCATGGCAAATATACTAATGTGATGCGAAAAAATACAAATAGATTTCACAAATCAAACGCGCTCATAGCATTTCTATAAAATATCCCCTGTCATTGCTTATTTTTGTCATCTTCAGTTTGGTAAATTTCCATGCAGTCCCATGATCGATCAAGATGAGCTGGTTATATGATGCATGAAAATTTAAGTTTTCTGTTAGAACTCAGGGTTAGAAGTTTAAGTTTTCACTGGGCCCTGACATTTTTTTTTTTAATTTTTTAATTACGCTTACTATTTTTTTTTTTCCCCACTGCAATACTTGATTCACAAGTTGAATATGGCATTGAATTGTATATTAAAATCTCATTAGGTTGATTCGTTGCAATTTACCAGCCCTTGATTAGGTGGATTTCCAATTTGGTGACCCAGAATCTAGTCGTTTGTCTTGATCCACAAGCATTATGCTTAAAATGTGCCATATCACAGTACACTTTATAGTTTTGTTAATGGGGATTAGAAGATTCATGATTTATTTAATAATTATGCTGATATGACCTTTTAACTTTTAGATTTGACATCTCACCCACTTCTGTTAGCTTCCCTCAGTCATATGCCACATGGTTTAGGTTTCTATTACTTGCACACATCTGTAATTCTAAAATTACGAAATATTATTAATGAGTGACAGTTGAGCCCACATCATTGTGATTAATTCTTCTTCTCTTGACCTTCCCTTTTCTCTGGACACTGGTGTAATGGAGCTTGAGCTGTCAAATGGTAGAGTAAGGAGAAAATAGAGTTTGGGTAACATATGCAAGGAAGGAAAAATATCTCGTGTATCTGATGAAATTTATATTCTACTCCACTCCACAGCACTATATTTATATGTCATATATCTGATAATCGACATGGAAAAAAGTAAGTATACTGAATGCGTTCAAGAGTCCAAATTTGTGCTGTGTCATCACTTTTCCATTGTTACTTCACTGCTTTAAGTTGGACATTTCTGGTGCTTCTCCAAGCTAAGATGGGGGAAAACTATTCGGAGTCTGGTCAATGATATATAGGTAATTATGTGTCAATCAGGAATTAAACCATCAGTGAATGTTAAAATAAGGAAGACTCTTGATAACAGTTTCTTTATTGTTTTTTAGCATGTTTCTAGTTTCCTTTAGAGGCCCTAAGTTGAAGGCTTTTCATTCAGCTTAGTGATGAAATAAAATGCATCATTATTTTTCTCTTCTATCTCTATATTCTATCCAATTTTTCTCCCTGTTTCTCCCATGCTTGACTCCCTTATCATATACCTGTCTGTATTTCTCTGAAGAAAGTTCATTTGGTGCTTTGAGTGTCAGAAGCAATATATTGTTTTTACTCTCCATCTTAATTTTACTTGGTTTTGTGCTGCTATTATTGCAATTATTTGCATTGAGCTGGTTTCATCTTTTGTTTATATAGATATATTCCTGGGTGTTAAACTTGTGAATAAGGCTTCCAAATTCATGGCCTTTGGGCACTACCTATCCCAGGGATGGAAACCCAACCCTAGTGATGATGAAAACTCCATGAACGGTTGCTTTGATTGCAACATATGCTTAGACTTTGCTCGCGAACCGGTAGTCACTCATTGTGGCCACCTTTACTGCTGGCCCTGCATCTACAAGTGGCTTCATCTCCAAACTGAGACCTTAACATCTGATGAGCACCCTCAATGCCCAGTTTGCAAAGCTTGTATATCCTCTACCACAATCATCCCGCTCTATGGTCGAGGGCAGGCCTCACTGGCTCAAAGCGAGCGCCACGATGAGAAGGAATCGGATCTGGACATTTCTATACCGCCAAGGCCACCTGCTGCTAGCGTTGAAGCTCCATTGCCATCATCTTCTCCTCATAACACTTATCAGAATCAGCATTCTGCTACTTCTCTAAACCTTGAGAATGCTTCTTCATCACCGCGGGTTGTTAATGTTGGTGCTACCTTGATGCCAGGTTTTCATCATCTTCTGCATGGGATGTTTGGGGAGATGGTGTATGCTAGAGTGTTTGGCAACCCGGAAAATATATACGCCTATCGGAATTCTTATCATGTGCTGGGCCCTAACAGCCCCAGATTGAGAAGACAGGAGATGCAGGCAGACAAATCCTTGAAGAGAGTATCAATTTTCCTGTGTTGCTGCCTTGTTTTGTGTCTTCTAGTGTTTTGAGAACGTGGTCCTGCTTTAAAGAGGTATCGTCCATGAGCTTTGTAACATACTGTATTATGTTGGCTGTTGAATATGAGGCTAGTGAATGTGTTCTTCACCATTTATTGTACACTATGATGGAGCCTGTCAGCTCCACATTGCAGAAACCCAGAATGAGAGTAAGCAAGCTTTTTTCTTTTCGGTCTCTTCTGCAATGGATAAAGATTTGCGTGTCCATTTTTAGCTATATGCGTTTGGTATACATTGTATCTGTATTTGATGTTGAGTGAACAAGTATTTTCATTTTTGTATCTTAATTTAATTTATTTTTATAAGTTGATTAGGCATGTTTTTTTATGTAATGCAAATGTAGGGAATATGAGAAACAAGTTGTAATGTTCATAATGGTTTTGCAAGAACCCCATACATAACCAACCTGTAAGAACCCGCAACGGGGCCCCAAAATTTTTTTTTTTTTGTGATGATAACATGGGACATAAATTATAGACTCAGAGACATGAAATACTCTTTCAATTTTTAATATAAGATTTATTTAACTAATTTGATTAGATTAAGGAAAGTAGGTAAGTTAGTTAATTATAAAAAATATAATATATTTTTCCTAAAACACCATAATCATCTTTTTTAATATCTTTCCTCTTTCTTATACTTGATTATGATTGAGGAAGTATCTATAGGGATAATTTAAAAAAATTGATAAATATGAGAAATAGGTCTTATATTTAGGATCAAAATTAACTCAATAATTAGGTCTTATATTGAGGACCGGAGAAGTATAACAAATTGTTCTCCTAAAGAAAGACAAAAGTAGAAAATTGAAATAAAGTGCAACACATCAGGGGATGGGTGGTTGGCTGGTTGCCAATTGCCATACGTCACTTGAGCTACTCATAATCATAGTGTGCTATTACTTCTGATCTTTAATATAAGATCTAGTTTGCAGTACAATTTATACTGCAAGCTAAATCTTATGCTCTCCCATTTTAAAATATAAGTATCAAATGTTTGAAGGGATTTGTTTTTTTGGTCATTTAATGTATTTTTCTATTTTTACTCCTAATTAATTATGTCTCTCATCTTTTGTCCCTGCTTATTCTCTCTAATATCTTGTTTCCCTCATTCTCCCTCCCACTTGCCTTCTTCATGAATAATGATGTTTTAAAAAAATAAGCTACATTTTTTTTCACATATTTATTGTTTTAACTAATTTTTTAGCTGCGTAATTTAGTTATTTGATGCTTATATTCTGAAACACATGGGATATTAAGCACCCGAGGTAGTTAAAAAAAATGCTTTGCTTTACCTAAATAAACAATACAAGATATACATTGTGTATAAAATTAAATTGAGGTCGATAAATGAGTTGAGGGGATGAATTGGAAAAGGCATCACAATTACAATCCTTACCAGTTCGCTGGGGCTGGTTTTGGGCTGAATATGTCAATGCATCAAGCCGCACAAATTTTTTTTCTTATAGACTTCAATATGAACCATACAACCCACATAACCCTCAACCTTTTTTTTTTTTTGGGTTTAAGCCTGATACACCCTTTATTTTAAGCTCACATGTTATATGCTTCATCTAATCCCAAGGCGCCATTTGTTAAGGAAACGTGAGGAGGTTGGGATCGGCATTGATATTGGCATCACTCATTTTAACATGTTTTGAGACAATAAAAACAATACTTAGAATTGAATAATACTACCGAGATAAGATTGCATAATGCCACCACCCTCATAGTATTGGAAAATCATTTATGACATTGAAGAATATTTTAACCAAAATTATCCCTGCAACATTTCAGAAACAGGTATTTTTATTTATTACAAGAGTATATACCACCTTCAATCCTAAGACCTTGTTTGACTTTTATTTTGGTCCTAAATATAAGACCCCAATCCACTTTATCTCTTATATTTATGCATTTTTTCCAATATAGTCATTTTAACAATAATAGTTCTAGCTAATACACTTGATTAGCAAGGATATTTTAAAAAAAACAACACCTATTTATTACAAATAACTAATTTAACTTCTTTCCTTAATCTCTTCAAATTAATCAACTAGCTCTTATAATTAGGACCAGAGGTAGTATTTATATAATACATGACTAATTATAAAATTAAATTAAATTAACTTTCACCCTAAATATTACATCATACCAAACATAATTTTAAAGCCTTATTCCGACTCCCACTCCCAATACCTTAAAATTCAGGTATGTGTACCATACCAAACAAGGCCTAAATATATTATCTAGTTGAGGGATTTTAATTCTAAATGTAAAATTTAAATGAAATTTATCTTTTAAATTGATATTTTTTTTTCAAATATCCATATAACTTATACATATTAAATGAGGTTTTTATTAATGTGATAATTTATTAAAAAAATCAACATATAAATTTTTATTAATAACTAATTTAACTATTTTTCTTAAAAATATACTTTTTAAAATCAAAGGGCGTATAAAGTTTAAGGACATTTTGTCACATTCCAAAAATTTTCACCTGGCTATAAGAGATTAAAAATTGGGATGAGAGTCAATGTAGGAACTAGATGAGGAGACAAAACAACTTTTGATATGAAACCTTGATAAGATCCAAGCTGACATTTTCATAATGATGGGTCTAGGGAGGGCACAATAGGAAAATTTAAGAAAAATTCTAGAAAATCTCCAAAAAATGGAAAAAAGTGTAGAGTAGAGCTTTTGGAAATTCAGTTGAGGCCCAAAATATAGAATTTCGGTGAAAATGAATTATTACAAAATTTCCTAAACAGAGGCTTTTCAGGAAAATATTAGAAAATTAGAGTAAAATAATTATTTTAATTAGTTAGAGGCATCAATAAATTTGGGAGATTGATGGATAAATCATCTAAATATTTTTTGGAATTTATATAATTTTTTTAGGACTTGGAAGTTCAGGAATTAATTTTAGGAAATTTATTTTCTCGTAGTAACACCGATAAAGGCCTAATTGGAGAAAATTCAAAATAAATACCTAGAGGTGGTAAAAAATTATGAAAATTTTCAGATCATATTCCCACATTAAAAGGTGAATTATCATGGAGAGAAATAAATTTTTGGAGGTCTAGAAAAATTATGGAATGTTACTAGTGAATAGTAACCGATAAAGTTCCAAATTGGTTTGGGACAATGATTTGGTTTGTGGGCCAGCTTTTTGAGCCAACCCAAACCATTTGTGGGCCCACAATAGACCCATTAAAAACCCAATTTCGTGCACCTTTCAGGTCCCTCCATTTTTATTAAATAAAATGTGAAATTAAGAGATATTTGTGTGGAAAAAAAAATCTAGAGAATGGACACTTGTTTTAAATATGATCATTCCAGCATTTGATGACTGTCACCTACACCCTTGAGGTGTCCCAAATTTCGTGCTAATTAAGGGAAAAATGGCAGAGTATTTGGTCTATAAATACCCCTAGAAAATACCAAGAAAATGTTAGAAAATTAGGAAAAATAAGGGGAAACTCTGTCACTGTTCATCCAGCAATCTTATTCAAAAATCTTGAGGTGTTTTAGGCAAGAAATCATCCAACATACACTAAGAAAATATTAAGGTATGTCTAACCATCATTCTCCCTAAGTTTTACATAGATTAAATAAGGATTTTTGCTTGGGAAAATACTGGAAAAATACTGAAAATTTTTGAAATTTTTGGTTGAGATGTGTGATGTTTAGGAAAAGATATAAACCTTAATAATCAAGTTTAATAAGGAAGATTAAGTGGTGTATGGATTGATTTTTGGATGAAATTAAGATTAGGGTTTTGGAGGAAGCAATTCAGTCAGCACTGTTCATCCAGGAGCTGATTGATTTTGCTTGGTTTGATGATTTCAATGGCTTTAAAATATGTTTTTGTGTAGGGATATGTTGTTGGAAAGTGTTTAAAATCATTGGAACCAAAATGGAATTTTTGGAAAATAAATACCCCCTATTCGGCTAAGAGGAGTTCATGGGGAAGAAGTGTGATTTTTAAAAATCTAATTGCACCATTGGATTTCTCATGAAAAATTGTGTAGGATTGATTCATGAGATGATTGATTTTAAAGAAGGAATCAATTTGTTAAAAATCAAAGAAAAAGGGGGGAGTTGTTAAGTTAATGTTAAAGTGTTGGAACCAAGTTGTTTTGTGATTAATGTAACCTATGTTTATGCTTGGTTTAATATACATTGAGAAAAGGAATTAAGGAGAAGCATTGCTCCTTAGAGGAATTAATTGGACAAGCTTTACAAATGTAGTTTTGAATTATAATTTGATTGTTTATCTTACTTGTTTATTGTGATTGTTGATGCTTGGATTGGAGGAACTTTGTGGTAATCTTGATTGTGTGATTGACATTAGTTATGCTTTGGCCAAATGCTTTGTGGTATGTCAATGTGGATAATATAATATTCCTCTCCTTGCATGATATTTGGTATGAATTCTTATGAGTTGGGAATGGTTTGGATTGCATGACATGTCACAATTAAACTTACATTGATTTACATAATAATTATAATTCATATGCTACTAAGATTTCTTTGAAATCTCATTCCTTCTATGTTATCTTATACACTAATTAGGAAGTGGACCAAATATGGAGCAAGGAAAGGAGTTGATCTTGGGATAAAGGAGTTTTATGAGCATTGTATTATGGTGAATTGTTATGCAATGTGTAATGAACCTTATTTTATGATTGTATTTAGATACAGATGATGTTATGACATGTATTATACTTTACCCTCATGCTATAATATTGTAATTATGCATGGTATATTAAGGAAAGAATGTGGAAAAAGGAAAAAGGAAATAAATTAAAGAAAGAGGCAAGTAGGGGATAGAAATTCCCTAAATAGTATCAAATTTATGGCACATAAAATAATAAGCAATTGTTGGAGCTTGGATCTGAGATTTTGCAAGCTAATAGATCTCATTTTTAGCTTTAAAACAAGTGATAATTCATTAAATTTGGAACTATGTGTGAAGAGTTATGCCTTTTCAAAGTTGAGCAAAAATACTAAAAATTTGAAAATTTACTAAATGAATAGTACACTTTGATGAATTTTCTGAAATTATTCTGGATAGAATTGAACCTAATGAGTATTTTTCGTTCATATAACTCTTAGCAAGCTTCGCATGAAAATTGGAACCACATCATTTTGATTTTTTTAGATTTAGTTATGAATTTTCAAAATTAGCTTATTTTTTGGATGAACAGTGTACGGATAGGATGAACAGTAAAAACCTGAATTTTAAAATTTTTCATCCAGAAACACTACGAAACACATTATAATGGTTCTAATTAATG